TCTCTCCCTCCCTCCCTCTCTCCCCTCCCTCTCCCTTTCTCCCTCTCTCTCTACCTCCCCCTACCTCCCTCTCTCCCACTCCCTCTCTCTCTCTCTCGGCCCAATCCACCTCACAGGGTTGTTGTTATTGTTGTGGGGGAAAACAGGAAGAGGAAGGTGTGTTGCAGTGGTGGGTTTCAATTTATTTTACTACTGGTTCGCTTATGCGTGTGTGCAGAAGCATCCGGGCGGGTGGGTGGACCTTCCTGCTGCCATTACCAGTTCGCCCGATCCGGGGCAAACCAGCAGAAACCCACCTCTGGTGTCTTGGATATGTTCAATGCCTTGAGTTGTTTGTAAAAATAATAAGGGTGGTAAAGTAAAGGTAAAGGTTCCCATTGCACATCTGTGCTAGTCATTCCCAACTCTAGGGGGCGGTGCTCATCTCCGTTTCAAAGCCAAAGAGCCAGCGCTGTCCAAAGACTTCTCCGTGGTCATGTGGCCGGCATGATTAAACGCCAAAGGCACACAGAACGCTGTTACTTTCCCACCAAAAGTGGTCCCTATTTTTCTACTTGAATTTTTTACGTGCTTTCGAACTGCTAGGTTGGCAGAAGCTGGGAACAAGTAATGGGAGCTCACTCCATTACTCGGCGCTAGGGATTCAAACCGCCAAACTGCCAACCTTTCTGATGGACAAGCTCAGCGTCTTAGCCACTGAACCACCATGTCCCTATAAGGGTGGGATACAAATAAATAAACAGTGTGACATGGCAGACTATGGACCATTTAGAAGTGGGGTTCCCAAACTCTCCAGCTCATCCACCCCTTCATGAGGTTTCAATGCTATCCTCCAAAGAAGGGGAGGATGAATCCATCCACCACCATCAGCCCAATTGAGAATTCAAAAACCAATCTCTAACCGGCGAGGGCTTATAACGGTTCTCCATCCTTTTCTCCTTTCCAAGGCCACCACCATCTCCTTGCCAAGGCCACCACCTGTCCCTTGGACATTCCACTCCTGTAGAACCTGGTAAGTGTGACATCACAGACATCAGAGCTGCCTTCTACGCAGGTGACAACAGGGCGAAAGATAGAAAGCAGCAGGTACCAAGAGGAGAAAAATTGAGGAGGAAAGGATTTCCTGCACACTTTTCTCATAGATTGAGGAGGGGAGGCAGGATTCTGCCTGGCGAATAAAGTCTCCCCATTAGGCAACTCATGCACCAGCCATACCTAAATTGACAACCCAATTCACCTTCTGTGATGATGTCTATTCTCTTTTTTAAAATATAATTTCATTTATAGTTTTTTTCCTTTAAGCATCCATAAATGCTTGGTGAGCAGTGTATTGCCTGGGTCAATATATATTATACACAGTACTACTAGTAATAATAATATTTCTTGCCCTTTTTTTTGAATTTCAACCCATTTACGTTTTGGTAATTCTTTTCATCATTTTAAAAAAAAGCTTTCTCTTTATTCTCTTTGAACTCTTAAAGAATAATCTGTGTGTTCCGTTTTAAGAATTACTACTATCACTTCTATCTCCAAATCTGCTTTTACCATTTTGGGATTAATCTCCTCTATTCCTTCCTTCAGCCCCTTCTGGTTTCTCCTCTATTTTCTGAATTTTTTGTTCATCTTTTATTGTCATTTGCTGGGGTTTTTCTCGTCCCACATCTGTGTTCTGCCTCAGTTCCATGATGATGTCTAATCTCAATCATCCAGGTCATGGTTGTCTCAAAGTTGCTTTTCAATAGGCAACTGGACTCTCTTGTTTTTTCCCCCCTGAAAACATTTCACTTCTCATCCAAGAACTGTAGAAGCTTCTTAGATGAGAAGTGAAATGTTTTCAAGGAGAACCCCCCCCCCCAGGAAAGTAATGTTGCCTACTGAAAATTACCTTCGGGACACCTTGTGGGATGGGATTAAGAGATATTCAAGGACGTGCATTGCAGCCACAGGATGGTGCATCTTGGCTCAAGCAGGATCACCTTGGAAATGTGGGGGAAGATTTCCCTGCTTACCACAATTGGGTACCAATAGATATTCTTTATATGTGCATGGTACCATAAATAGCAGAAAAGGCTTATCAGAAACAACTTAACAGTAGCAAATCTAATCTCTGTACAACCCTCAACATCCTTCTGGATGTAGGCACACAACCTCGCTACCCCAGCTTTCTCAACCAGCTCCTTGATTGAATCTGCATAGCAGAGGTGGGTTCCTACCAGTTCGCACCTATTCGGTAGAACCGGTTCGTGAAATCTACCGAACCGGTTAGAAGAGGTTCCACCAGTGGACCCGGAAAGCAGGCCACACCTACAGAAGAGGTTCCAAAATTTTTTGAAACCCACCCCTGCTACACACACACACACACACACACACACACACACACACTGACACAGAGAGAGAGAGAGAGAAAGAGAAAGAAAAGAAAGAAAGAAAGAAAGACAGACAGACAGACAGACAGAAAGAAAGAAAGAAAGAAAGAAAGAAAGAAGAAAGAAAAAGAATGAGAGATAAAAAAAGAAAAAGGGGACAGAGAGACGGAAAGAGAGAGAGAGAGAGAGAGAGAGGGAGAGAAAGAAAACACATGGTCGGCAAACCACTCCCACCTGGTCACATGGCCAGCAAGCCACTCTCACAAAGGAGGCCACACCCACAGAGTAGGTTCCAAAATTTTTTGAAACCCACCACTGCTGCATAGAGAACTAAATCATAAAATAACAAACTCGCCAATGTTTTTGCAATGCAGAAGCACCCCCCCCCCAAAAAAACCTCACAAAATTTACCAAATTTGAAGCTAAACAAAAGGATATGCTACACAGGCAGCTGATGGATGTTTCACTGCTTGTGTTAAGGTTGCATGACAGCAGGCCACAAGGAGATCATCTGAATCCCGCTTACTGTTTCATTGGACACTCAGGTAGTTAAGGCATCAGGCTACAAACCAGGAGACCGTGAGTTCTAGTCCCACTTTAGGCATGAAGCCATTCTGGGTGACTTTGGGCCAGTCACTCTCTCTCAGCCCTAGGAAGCAGGCAATGGTAAACCACTTCCAAAATCAGGCCAAGAAAATTGAAGGGATTTGTCCAGTCACCAGTAGTCAACTCTGATTTGAAGGCACCTTCTTCTTTCTTTTAACGACCCCATAATCCCTTGAGGGGTGGAGTCTGGGCAACTGAATGGAACTAGCAGGGTGTTTTAGTGGCCGGATGCCCTTCCTGTCACCAATGTGGAGTTTTGTTCAGCAGATATATTCTCAATGTACCCAGAGAGAGAAATATCTGCCTCCACCTAGGATTGAACTCACAGCTTCCTGATCGTGAGGTGAGAACTCCAGCTTTAGGCCACCATACCCCTCATTTGAAGGCACCCTCCAAAAAATGAAATGTTATGAAAGGACTTACAGATGTCAATCAGTAGCTTAAACCGCAATTCTGAAGCCAAGGTGTCGGGGGGGGGGGGCATCTTCAAATCCTTTTCCCACCCGCAAGTATTTCACAAGTAACAAAGGAAAAATCTATATTCCATCAAAAGCCAGTTTCTTATAGTACTCACCACTCCAAAGAAAACAATTATAGCAAGGAACAAAAAAAAATATAGTTTTAATACAGAAAATGTTCATCAGTC